GACAGCCAAGAAGCGCCTGGGCGTGCAAGGGCTCCAGGGCGCTGCTCTGTTTCGTGTGCGTGAATGCATGCACGCAGGAAGCATGGCCCAGCCGTGGGGGTACTAGCTCAGAGGCCAGGCGCTCACAGGCTCTGGTTTGGCACTCAAACTGGAGCCCCTCGGTCATTCCCCTTCGGTCTGCAAGGGAGATCCAATTCATACGGCCCCCGACAGTTAATGCCCAGGAAGTGCCACACGCCGTCTCGGACGCAACCACGCAGCCCAGGTAAGCACAGCCTAGAAGAAGCGTCTGCAGCAGGCAGGCTGGTGCCAGCCTTTCCCTGCCCTGCGAGCTCTCAGCCAGCGCACGCCACCCCCACCTCCGCTCGCTCCCGGGAGCGGCGAGGACATATTTGGCTGTGCATGCTCGGGGCGCCTGGCCCGCATCCCAGCGCAGGACAATGCTTTCCATTGTGGGTCGCACACAGCAGCTCCTTATTTGCTCAGCAGGTTCCCTTCGTTCTCACCAGCAACAAATCCTTCCCGGAGCAGGGCACAAGGCTGAGCTCTGGGGCTTCCTAAGGGACCCTGCAGCTGGGGGATAAAAGCACCTCTGAGTCTGAAGGCACCAGAGAAGGGAGTCATTAGCCAGCCCAGTTATCTCAACTGCATGCAGGAGAGTCGCACGCAGCCTGGTTCCCCCCCTGGACATACAGGGGCTTTGACAGCTCCACGTCACAGGGAACCCATGCAACAGGCTAGCGTGCCTCGTCCACTGGATCCTAGTGCAGCAGGATCCTAGCAAGATCCTTCTCCACTGGATCCCATCCTAGCCAGGTGGTAGGCAGGAGGGGGAAGCGACAAGGAGGCTCGGCCGTAGGAGCCTGGACACGAGCTACTGCAGCGCGCGGGAGGCTTGTCCAGGAGAAGCCTGCACAGATCTGAGGGACGTGGGAGCCTCCATCCTGTTACGTGTGACGTCAGGCAGAAGGCAGGGAAGAGATGCACCTTACAGACTAATTAAATCACAGCTTGCATAAGCCCGAGCTCCCTTCCTCACGTGCTGGGGATGGATGGAGCAAGCTAGCAAACGGAGTAAGGTGAAGGCAGAAAACAGGGAAGGGAGGGGACAGCGCTGGCAAACAAATAACACGCTCATAGGGACAAGGGGACACGAGAGCTAAGGCAGTGGGATAAGAATGAAGCCAGATGCAGATTTTTTGTTTTCTTAATTAATATACGTGTGTTCCAGATCAAATCAGCCAAATCGGGTCCACATCACATCAACGGGGCAGAACTCAATCGTTCCAAAAACCGTGTCGACTGAGCAGGCAGAACTCAACCGCTCTAAACACCATGTACGGCGCTACAACCAGCGAGCATCCTCCATCCCAGCCCCTCACCCGGGGACTTCAGATGCTCCCAAATCTGCTGGCAGGCATCCTATGTGCAGGCCCAAGCCTGGAGGTCCTGGGATTTAGATGCCCCCACTTGATCTTAGCCCACAAGAGGCCGAGACATTTGATCTGAGCCGAAAGTGATGCTTGCTCCAAGTTGGGGGTCTTCAAACAGAGGCTGGATAATCACCTAGCCAGGGTCATAGGATCCCAGCACTCATTCCTGCCATGGCAGGGGGTCGGACTCGATGATCTGCTCAGGTCCCTTCTGACCCGACCTACTACGAAAGCAAGAAAGGCCAAGATGCAGCAGACTGAGCACCAGGGGATCAATGTCCCACGTCTGTCTCTGCTACCGCCCCACCGTGCGACCTCAGGCAAGTCGCTCGGTTTCTCTGCGTCTCAGTTTCCCCATCCACAAACGCAAGGGGACTCCAACCCTTGGCAAAGGCTCTGAGGCCGACAGCAGGGAAGCGCGCGGTGCTGCTCGCTGGGCTGGAACAAGCCCAAGGCCCTTGTGCTGAGAGTCCCGTGAGAACGGCTTCTCTGGCCGCGCTTCCCCTTTCCCGTCGCTCACTGATCTCGGAGGGCGCGGGCGTGCGGGGCGAGGCACATCGAGCCCACCCAGCTCCTCCTCGAGCCGTGACGGGGATACGTTCCCGTTCTGCGAGAGGGCAGAGCGAGCAATGCACCGGTCTCGGCTGGCCCTACACCCCCTCTGGGACGAGGCTGGGGAGACGCGCTGCAGAAGCCTGCTTCGCACACCCGGCTGCTCAGGAGAGCGGACACAGCCCTTCCTTCGCTCTGCTTTGGGAGCGCCCCCATCCCCCATCGCCGCCCCGGCACGTTTCTCTTTGTTGCTCCAAGCTCAGCGCGTTCCTCCTCCGTGACAAGGTCGTCGCTTTCACAAGACTTCAGCAGAGTCGCCCCGCTCCCGTGGCCTCCAGCTTCGTCTCCCAGCGGCCCCGTGCTCGCGGAGTATCAATTAGATCACAAAGAGCCCAGATCAGATCAGATCAAAGCCTCCCCCCCCGATGCTATGCCAGGCCCGACGAGTAGAAGCAAAAAACAACCAGCAGGACGGGCTGGTGTTTTGCACCGAGCGTCTATCCACTGAGGCTGACGTGCACGATGCACGCAAGGGGCCTGGAAGTCGCATCCCTCTGCATCGCGCGGGGATGTTTCTAGCGCTGCTCGCCCACAGCCCCCCGCTGGCTTCAGCATCCAGATAAATCGGCAGCTGTGAAATAACCGTAACCAGGAGCAGGGCGGAGAAGAGGAAAGGGCAGAGGGTTTGATTTACCGACACCCGACGGCAGGTCTCTCTCTCACCTGCTTCCGCTTGCAGAGCCAGCTGCTCCCCCACTGCTATCCATAATAAATAGCAATGCTTGTATTATTTAATAGGCATGTCAGAGGGTCCCAAAGTGCCCTGGAACCACTAAATGAGCCTGAGCAAGCCCCCGAGAGCAGGGTCATTAGTAACCTCCTCCATGCACCAATTGCACGTGGAAGCAGGGGGGTGCTCTAAGAGCCAAGGAGAGAACCCAGGGTCCTGGCTACGATCCCTGCACTTGCAGTACAAGGCAATCCTTCCTCTCCTCCGACACCCGTACCGCTACTCCGGCGCGCGCACGTACGCAGGAAGCCCAAACAGAGCGCAGTTGTGCGTAGCGCAATCATCATTTACTCTACCAGCTCTGGGCATTACCTTGCAGGGAAAGGTTACTCTTCCCCAGCTTTAACACACATTAACTGGCCTCGTTTTAAAGAGGTTTCTACAGCTGCCTATACATAGCCACATTTACCAACACCGACAAACCCCCACAGTGGAACGGAGCTGTGCAAAACTCATGCGCCTGAAGACAAGAAGCAGAGGGTGGGTGAAGAAACTGCCAGCTCTCATCTGGTCTGGGGCTCGAGGGCATGCCTTGAACCCAGGCTGGGTTTGCTGATCTTTCATCTGAAATGCAGCTAGGTCTGGGGTGGAACCTGACCACAGCTGTTTAGCAAACCCATGAGCAAAACTCCCCGTGGAGCTTGGAAAGGAAGCAACATGCAGTGCCGTATATCCCCATACAATGCCGTATACAGCTGCAACTATCTTCCTACGCTGGGGCACAGGGCTCACAACTGGGTGAGACGACATGGCTTTATTCTCACAGTGAAGCTTGCTTGGTCTCAGATAACCAGAGACCCCCTCGGAGCCTCCTTGCCACGTTTCACCCAGGCTCCAGCATCACTGACCTGTGCCACAGCCACCTCCACGTCACGGGACAAGAGTGGGCATTGACCTCCCCTCCCGGGCACATCTGGGGAGCCTGGGGCAAGCCCCTCTGAGCATGCCAGGCCATGCTGTGCTAGGGAAGTGTCCGCCGGTCATCTCAGGCCTGGCTCTCCCTCCCTGGGAGCAAGGCTCCGTCACCCGGCTCTGGAGAACACACTGTGCTTGTGCGGAGAACAAGCCTGGCCTTGGCAGCCCGATCGATGGCACCACTGATGAATGAGGTCATTATAACCCGTAAAAGCCTTGCACCAGCAGTGCCCCCTGGTTCGTGCCACTCCCTCGTTCCCCGGGAACTGGGGACTACGTGGGGCTAGGGGCAGGGCCGAGGGGTCCAGGAGCCGCCTGCCCTTCCCCAGGGCGTGTCTGCAGGGACAACAATTCATCACCATCTCCCCCCAACTCCCTTTGCTCTTGCCAAAAAAAAGTCTCAACCCTCCACACGCTGGCTGATCTTCCAGTGCTTTATGTCTCGGGGTGGGGGCGGTCACTGGATGCTGGGACGTGAAAGAAGACTCCTCCTGGGCCTTGCAAAGGGCATTGAGGCAGGTCTTTGCTGGCAGCTTCCTCCAGAGGGGAAGCAATGGGTATGAGCATGGTGGGAGGGAAGGTCACATCAGCTCGGGGGGAAGCAAGCGCCAAGCAGAGACGAAGCAGCCGAGCCAGTGTCCAGAGTGACCCCGTCTCCGCTTGCAACCCACATGCCGGCCCGAGGGAAGGAGCTTTTAAGGAGGAGTCAGGAACGGGGCAGCAGCTAATCAATCGGCTGCTGCCACAGCTGGGATGAGGGGCAGCCCCGTGGGCCGAGGCTCTGCCTGGCACTGGGATGGCAGCCGGGCTCCACGTGGCTCCCAGCTCAGCAGCGGCAGCTCTAGATGGGCAGCAGCATTTCAGCTACTGGCTGCACCTTCAAAATCAACACGCTGAGCAAACAGTCCTGCCAGCTTCCCTCCTGGCTCCCTGAGCCACCCACGCAGATGGGTGCACGGTGCCCTGAGCCCAGGCTGCCAACAGAGCGAAAACAAGGACGCAGGCCGGCGAGGCACATCCGTGCCAATAAAGCCACGTTGAACCGGGGCACGCTTGCAGGACGCTGCCGTGGCTTGGAGTTAGCAGCTGAGCAGCATCCGATTTTGGAGGGGGCTGGCTGCAGCACCTGCCTCAGAGCAAGGGAGCCCAGACCCCCCAGCCAGCCACGGAGATTGTCTCAAGGCATAATGTTAACCACAGCCCCCCAGACAAGCGTGCCTGATCCTCAGCCAGAGGCTGTGCAGGCCCCCGCGGCACAGCGGGGAGCTCTTGCTAGCCGAGGCCATGCCGGGAGGCGAGGCAAGCCTTACCTTGTGCTTCATAGCCAGTGTAGTGGCGGGAGCAGTCTCCATCCTCGTCGCCCAGCACCATGCCGAGGGCGGCCTTCAGCTGGGCCATGTTCATGCGAGCTGTCAGCTCCCCGTTCCAGTCCCCGATCTGCAGAGCAAAGGCAACAGGGTGCAATGAAAAGCACTGCAGCATCCCAATGAAAGGGGTTTCCAGCCCCACAGCAGGAGCTGAGTGAGGGGTAGGGTCTCTCCTCCCCGCCAGGCAGCTCGGCCACCTGTCATCATCGCTGCGTTCCCCCAGGCCCCATGCGGTGCGTGGCCTGGCACACGGGGCGCTGGAAAGGAGGGGTCAGCATGCTAACCGCAGCCCTGCGGCCGATGTGGGGATGACTTTTGGACTTGACAAGCCGACCCACTCTTTGCCATCTTGCCTACGGGCACCGCAGCTCTCCGGGACGGAGGTGGGATCTCATTTCTGCACCAAAGCAGCACATGGACTAGCCTGTGAGGCACTACCACCATCACAGCAATGGTCAGGGGCTCAGTCCCCCCTTTAGTCCGGCACAGGAGGCACTGTTTCTGCACAGCACCTCACACAACTGAGGAAGGCATCAAGGATGGAGAGATGCTGCAGCGCTGGGGGCCAGGATTAGCGTCTGCAGCAGCCACATGGCACAGCTCTGTCCCGAGCCGGCTCCAAGCAAGCGCGGGATGTGGACCCCTCGGAGGTCTCTCTTCCCAGCGCTGCCAAACGTGCGTCACCTGCACCTGCCAACTCGCTCCCTAAGAGCCCAGTGTCCCCGACGTGGGGACCTGCCTCCCCTCGGGCTGCAGAACAGGCTGGGGAGGAAAAGCCTGGGACTGGCAAAGGGCCCTGACAATCCCAGCCCCCTTGCTCGAAAATTGCCATAGTTACTGAGCACCAGGCGGCCGCTCAACGAACAGCTGAACAGACCGTGCATCTGTGTCACAGCCAGGGCGTGCGCGCACAGCTCCAGCAATTAAGCAGGGTTGGGATGCGCCAGAATGATTCCTGCCTGGCCCCGTGCCCCGCGTCCGCCATCCTCCCCGACGATGATGATGATATCCAGCAGCACATCCGCCAGGAACAGGACCTGCTCCGACAACCGCGCCGAGCTGGGCGCTCCTGGCTGGACGCTGCCCGCCAGGCGGGGGTCCAGAGCTGCTCCTTTGGGACATGTCACGCCTGTTCCTTATGCAAAGGACAGACGCTATGAAAAGTCCTGGCTTCCCACAGAAACGAGACACAGGTACACCAGCCAGAACCACAGTTTGGCCGAGGGACAGATTTATAGCCATGCCAGGGGGGTTTCGGGGGGACTCATGTCTCCCCTAGACGTTTCTGCAGCCTGCCCTGAGAAAGCCCTAGATGCTGCTCTCTGTCCCCTGAGAAAGAAGAGTCCTGCCAGCAGCTACGTGACAAGTGCCACGCATTTGTCCAAAGCTGCTGGTGTTCCCTAAATGCTCTTCAGTGCAGGTGAGGTCCCCGCTGCAGCAATACGGTGTCATCTTTGCATCAAGACAGATTACTCGGTGGCAAACCCTAACGTGCCTAGGCATGTGCGATTTCTGTGCAACTCGTCCAGTCAATACGGACCCAGGGGTCAGTTCAGGGGATGAAATCTTCCAGGGGGATTGTGTTATTTTGACGAAGACAGCGATCTTGTAAAAGCAAGCCCTTTCCTGCAGTGAAACAGCCTCCGACCGGTTTCCAGCAAAGGTTTGCCAAGCGCATGTGAACTGCGCCACCCCAGTGAGCCCCGCTGCCCTTCTGCGCTCCCACCCCAAGCTCTGAGTGGTCCAGGTAAGACCCCCCCTGGGTACGCAGGGGAACAGGCTATGTCTCAGCCTCAAACCTTTATAGAAAATAGCGGTCTGTCTTGGAAGGAGAGACCTTGGCCGTCCCGTAGGAGAGGCATGACCTCCTTGTTAAATGCCTGGCTTTGTGGTTCGCTGAGATAGCCTCCAGGGTCTGAGCCATCTTAAAAACAACATCATCAATCCCCGCGTTATCTGTGACAAGATGCTGAATGCCACCGACGGCAGGGAGATCAGACAGCTCCCAGGCAGGCGACAATCCTCCGCCAATTAATCTAGGCGGCTGCTGACACGCTCTCAGCGGACCGACTGAGCTCTGGACAGGCCCCAAGTCCTTCAGACACTCGATTAAAGGCTTCGCCGACTGCCACCAGTTTTAGGGTTTCTTAGAGGACCAGGTCCCCTCAGACGGAGGCGTTCTGCTGAGAGACAGCACCGAGACGCAGCAAAATCTGCTCGGAGAGGCTTACGCGCTGGCCTCTCCTCGGGCTGAGCTTGGCCTGCTTTCTTTGGGGTCCCAACCCCCTGGGGAGCCGTGGCTTTGCCCCCCTCTCAAGGCGATCTCCAGTCTAGGGGACGAGGACTGCCTGTTTTCACGCCCGAAGTGGAGGGCACAGCCCAGGGGACAGGACTTCTCCTGCCTTGGCCCCTGGCACAGCTGCATGGAGCTGGTCATTTGCCAAGGGGCTGTGCTGCCTCTCGCGACAGGCCCAGGACAGGACTCAAGGCAGCGCTGCGCTCACCATTGTGCTACGGGGCAGGGAGCAGGAAAGCAGGTGGCAGGGCAGGTTGATTGATCTGGACCCCATCAACCAAAAACCATGCATGGGGCTGCATCACCCTCAGCTCTGTGCTTCCTGCTCCCGGCCACCTCCTCCACCTGGGCACAGACCCACAACCCCGAATCCCGACCCCGGGCCTGCACGACCGCAGCTTCTGCTCCAACAAAACCCCTTCATCTCCCGGACGCTGCCCTCAACTTCCCAGCTAGTGGCACGAGAGGCAGAGGGCAGAGGCAGGGGTCTCAGGGGCAGCAGCATGTGCCAGGCTCTCTTTGGCCATGACCAGACCAAGCTGTGTCCGAAACCAGCCGATCCCTACAGAAGATCCTATGCAGCAGTGGCTCACGCTAGGAACAAATCCCGGCCCTACAGAGAGGGGTTCTCAACACCGCTCCCGATTTAACAGCGTGGTGGGGGGGAGATGATCAGCCACCTGCCATGAGTAACCCGCTCCCGACGCCACCCTGTAATCAGCCTCATCCACCCTAATGTGAGCAGCATTGTGAATCCCCAAAAGGCTTCCCCTCCACCCCCAGCAGCAGCCGGAGCTCCTATTGTTCCCATCTTCCCATCCCCTCTCATCTGCAGTGCCAGCAGCTGAGCCTCCATCTGGCTCTGAGTAATCAGACCCACACTAGCAGGCTCCAAACCGAAAGCCGAGAAGTTAATTTGTCCTACAATGCACGGGGCTGACGAGCAGCTTTTCCTCTGAATGGCTGACAAGTATAATTAAGTGCATAATTGGGCTGGCATGTTAGCCCTTCCCCAAGACTTAGCCACGCTAATAGATGAGGGCAAGAGAATGCACTAAGCGCTTACAAATGGTGGTTTCCATTACAGTGCTTTAAAAGGGCAGTTTCCTTGTGGGGGATATTAAAGAGGCCAGGGCTAATTTCCTTATAACAAACCGTAAAGGTCCGCTCCAAAGCGTGCTGGCTATCTCTCTGGCTGAGCTACCTGAAAAGCCTCAGGTCTTGTGTAGATTAGACAAGTCGCATGCACGTCACCAAGCCTATTATTAGCGTCAATCCGGTTTCATTAGTGCAAAGCCCAAATGCGGAGAGGCTGCAAGCAGCACAACCCTCGATGATGCTGATTTGGATGAAATCGGGACCATTACATCCCTATACAAAGGGTTTAACCCTGGCTGTGTACATCTTCATGGGGGGTTCACGCTGATGTTGCTAGATGTAGGAAAAAAGCAAAGGCATTGCAAGACCCTCGGCAGCCCCCGTCTCAGGCCACAAGCCAATTCAGATGCAGGGCAAAGAGGCTGAAACTCCACTGCCATCATCTGTTCAGTCTGCCCAGGTCTGAAGGGGACCAGTGTTTTTAGCCGAGGAAAAAGCTTCGGCCACGTTCTGGGGCTGGCACTGGGTCAGCAGCCGTTTCTTGCTGCTGGTTTTCTTTCAAGCCTCAAGAAGCAGCTTCTACAAGTGCAGAGCTGCACTCAAGCCATGTGAGCGAAGCCTTTTTCTGGCCTTTCCATGTTGTTCAGAGACAAGGAAGACTTTGTTAAATTTGGCTTAGAAAAGCAAAGTCAAAGCCTGGCCTGCCTGTTGCCCCACTCCGCTGGATTTCTGCCCTAAACCCTGGCCGCAAGTCTCAGCAGAACTGGCTTCTGAGGGGCTCCCCAGGACTTTCAGACCAGAAAAGCCTTTTTGGGATGGGGGGAATGATTTGGGCCCATCTACCAACAAGCACCAAGACAAGTGGCTGAAACAGGGCAGAAAATTCCTAAATATCCCTGGTTCTAGACCATGAATCGATCCACTACAGCAGGAAGGGGAGAGCTCCCCACCTCCCCCTGCAACCTGCTCTTTCTCCTAACGATGCCTTGGGAAGCTGCCGGCAGCAAGCAAAGCAGCAGCTCAAGCTCACTTATAACATCTGACCATGTAGGAGCAGGAGGGTGAAGCCAGCAGTGAATCTTTCAGGCCCTCGGACCTATGAGATGGCACCAGCCCCGAGTCAAGCATTCACTGTTCTCAGCCAAAAAAATCACCGACCCCGACTGCCCCCCGCTCCAGTTGCTGGTGTTTTACTAGGAGGCTGGGCCCATGTGTTTCTAGGAGGACAAGACCCATCAATGCAGAGCAGCTTAGAGATGCCCCTCTTGTCTCTCTGTCCCAGCAATCACCGCCCAGGCATCAGGCTGAGAGCATCCCAGGGCTGAGCTATCCAGTTACAGTGAATACGAGATGAAGATTGAGACATAGCCTGCGGGTCCCCCAGGAAGGAGAGATTTTCCAGCTTTCCTCTGCAAATCCTAAAGATAGCCTTTCAACAACACACATGATGGATGCTTTCAGTACCAATAACTGCCAGAAAAAGGGCAACTCCAGCAGCGGAGCCGATTGGCATAATAAATGGCTTCCTCCCAGCCAGGAGGTCTAGCTGCCTCCGATCTGCGCTGGCTCATCTTACCTCTTGGGATATTGCAAGATGTTTCTGTGCAAAGTGCAGGGCTTGCTCGTGGTTCCCCAGGGAGATGTAGGCATTTCCGAGACTCCAGCAGGCTCTTCCTTCTCCCACTCTGCAAAACAGAAAACCAGCATCCAGAACGGCTCAGCAGAAGAAAGCCACCAACACTTTCGGGGCCTTTCTGGCCTCTAGGGTCACCCCTGACAGCAGCTCAAGGGCAGAAACCCCTCTTCCCCCCTCACCGGCTTCCCAAGGAGCAAGGTTCAACTTTGCCAGAGCCTTGCTCTCATCTCAGTGCTGCATTTGGAGGGCAAGTTCTCACTTAGTCTGCTCTCCAAGCTGCCCCAAAGGCTTCTGGCCAGAGACACCCGACGTTTCCTTGCCCTCCAAGCCAGGGTAAGCAGTCCTGGGAAGCAGGGGGGTGGGAAACCAGCACTGAGAGGCACATGCAGCAGGGAGGCAGGTAGCTAGGTGCTGAACCAGGTTGCGGGGCATCCACAGGCCACTGGAGCCTACCTAGTCTCAGTTAAGCCTCCCCCTGCAAGCAGCCCCTCCGTGCCCCCCAACTGCGGGTGCAGGAATCCTGCATGGCCGGCAATCACTTTGGCTTACCAGCCCTCCCATGAAGCTGCAGGCAGCCCCGCACACTCGTTCTGGGCACATGCCGTGGGTGTATAAGGAACCCCTAAAGCATTTGCTTCAGTGCTGCCAGTTTGCTGGTTTTAACCTGAATGGCTGGGGGTGCTCCCCACACAGTGCCCACCACCTCCTGCAGGCACGACCGTCCCCCTTCATTGCAAAGTGCCAGCCAGCTGCGGGCACCAGCACCCGATGCAAGAGGATTTCTGTTCCTGCCTGGGCAGAGCTTCCATTTTAAGGTCTCTGCTCCATCTAGTGGCAAGAGCTAGAGGATCCCAGAGGCTCATGATCTGCAGGGGGGGCAGTTGTTAGCATTTTCACAACATTATTAGCCCCCAAAGCCCTATCTAGATGCACCTGTGTTGTCCTCCCAGAAGCACAAAGTCGCTCCCGAAGCACAGCTGAGTTTGCCAGCCAGTCTAGGTTTCGGGGACGGATCCCAGCGCCCACCAGGGAAAGGAGTCCCTAACACTGCATCCCGTGCAGTCCTTCCATCACATCTCTAGGGACCACACCACAGCCAGACAGACTGGAGAGATTTCAGCAAGGAAGCCGTCCCCAGCTCACTTTCTCTGTCCCCTCCTTTCCTTCTCACCCAAAACACTCACGCTGCACTACAAACAACTACTCCAGCCAAGAAAATCTGAGTTTTCTCTTCTCCGAAACAGGACTGCAGAGGTAAGAAGAGGGATAAAAACTCACCCACAGGACTCGAGAGCAAAGCACAGAGTCCTGATCTCCCCAGTCGCGGCTCTAACAACTAGCTGAAGAAGCCCAGGTGTCCGCAACCATGTTCAAATGCGGCCCCTGGTTTCAGATGTGCAGCTCAGGCCTGACTTCCAGAAAGGGTCCAGCACCTGCTGTGTCCCTGGCATCACGTGGACCACAAATGTTCAGCCCTGATGAAGGCTGAAAGCGGCTTGGACTGGCCATCCCTGAGACGAGGTGCTTGAACTCACTCCCCACACTGAACAAATGTGCCCAGGCCATCCGACGACAAGAGAGGCCACTAAGCTCTACCCCCCTCTTGGCTGGCTATTTCCTCATCTGTCCTGGGAGTCTCACTTCTTCTAGCCAATTCTCCCTGGCTTCCCTTGCATCTTCTGCCACGTGCTAAGCTGCACTTCCAGCTGCCTGCATCTATCTGAAGTTGAAAGCGGGTCATTTGGGCAGACCCCCAGACTAGCTCAGTTAATGAGATGCAAGAAACTGGGAGCCTGGCATGCAAATATTCAGGCGGATGAATAAAGCTTTGTGCTGGGCAGGGGCAAAACATATAACAGAGGTAGAGGTGATTACGCAGGGAAGAGGGTGCCTGGCCCCAGCTGTGCCAGGTGACACAGCGCGCATCCCCACGCGGCGCTTCTCATCACTTCGGCAGGGATCTTCCAGCAGCATCTCAGAGCTCCTGCTGCATGGGGCTGTTCAGTCCAGCCCCTCTCAGTGGGAGGCTATTTCTGTTCCCCTGCAAGTGCCCAAGACGAGGGCACGGGGATCAGCAGCAGCCACAGCAGAGACAGAGCAATGACTGCAATGAACCTTCTTGAATGTCTCCGCATTGCAGCAGAGGCTCATACTTTTTATGGGCAAGACCCTACGTCCACCACGCTCAAAGTACCAGCCCAAGCCCCTCACCTGTCACCCAGCTCCTGTGCAATCAGCAGGTGCTTTAGATGGTACTCGATGGCTCTCTCGTACTCCTGGAGCAGCGTGTAGGTGTTTCCAAGGCTGTAGCAAGCCTGAGCTTCTACCGCTTGGTCTTTCAATTGCCTGGACAGCTGGAGGGTTTTCCTGCACGAAGACACAGCAGGTTCATGGTGGGCACATCTGCAAGCTGGCAGAAAAGGCTAGAAGGGCCTGCCTTAGGCCAAAAAATGCCCCCTGTAAAAGTTTGCTGATGCCTGTCTTTTTCGCCTCCTCTGTGCCCCTTGGAGAAAGGGGCCCTGCAACTCCGGGGCCCTGGCAGATGTTACAGTTAGGGTACAATTAACCTGTTAATCACTCCATAAATAGTAAACCTGCCACACATCCAGGAAATCAAAATATATTAGTATTTAATTAGTATTAAAATGATATATTACTTATATCAACAATGCAACAAAATAAGAAACCAGCTACAAAAACATTCCACAAAGTACGTGGAACATTTCTGTGGCTGGTTTCCATCGCACCTTAAATCTGTTCAAGTGGCTTTTGGGTTTTAAACCTGTTCCTGAAAGAAGATTATTCCCCTCCCAGAGTGGGCAGCACCACTTTATAATGGAAGAGGCACCCCTGGCACTACAGTCTGGCTTTGGGGCAGCTCTGCTGAGAGGCAAAGCATGGTAGTTTAGTCTCCGATCCAGTCAGTCCTCACTCTCTCTATCAAGACAGTCCCCAGCAAATACTAGTTTCTGGGAGGTAGAAATCAACTGTCAGGAACTGCGGTTACTCCCGGCGAAGGTTAAACCCAAAGGAAGGAGGATGACCTGCTCGTTCCTCCCTCTGTGCTTGTAAACCAGGCACATGCCTGGTTTAAGGCAGGCTCTCATCCCAGTCCCTGCCACAGCCGCTCAGCCCCTTGCATCACCCCGCACTGCTCACCACTGAAACTGCCCATCGCTGCCTATGCCAATCCAGCCTAGATGCAACCCTGACAGCTGCGAGAGTCCGGACCAGCCAGGGAGTCACAGCCCAGTGTGAAATGGCAGGAGTGCTCGGGGCACAAGCTCACCCAGAGGGACCCGTGCATGGAAGGAGCCTTTCTTCCCAGCAGCCCGGAGATGGGAAAGGGGCAGGGAATGGCCAGCAGATGGCAATAGGAGGCATTTCGGAGCCCGCTCCCCATGCGCTCTCCCTGAAGCACACGGCAGCTCTTCACACATGTGTATTTGTGGCTCATACTTGAGCCATGGCGACTGAAGCCTGTGGATTCACTGCGGCAGATTGCAACCTCCCAGCCTGCTGGCTCTGCCCGGGCAGAAAGCCTGGAGCCGGGTCCCTGCTCCCCACAGGCAGCCAGGCACTTACTTGTAGTACTCTGCTGAGATGTCGAACCTACTGAGGAAGATGTGCGCGTTGCCCAGGTTGCTGTACGCTCTCCTCTCGGCCGCCTTGTCCCCAAACTCCTTGGCGATGGCGAGGCGCTGAAACAGTCACACACGGATCCATGAGAACAGGCCCGTCCCCAACCCGCGGCTGCGGCTTCTGCGACGCATGCCCATCAGCACCCTCCCTCTGGGGCCCCGATGCTGCCAGGCTCTGGAGCAGAGACAGCAGGAGGTAGGCACCCCCTCCACGGTTGTGCACAGCACATTAAGTGCTAGGCTGAATCCAGAGCCCAATGCCACCAGTGACCCGATGCACTCAGGCAACTGGTTGCAAAGACCCAGGAGGGCTTGTATCACCTGAATGCACGCCCGCTGCATGAAACCATCGTGGGCTGCCTCTTTCTGCCCAGCTCCCACCAAGCCCAGGCCTCGGTTATGCATTAGCTCGCTTCCACCTTCTCCCATCACTGTCCCCTGCCTCTCAGCTGGTCTCCAGGGCTGGGGGCGGCTTCCCAGGCCCCTCTCCTACAGACCCCAAGCACTGCTGCCCCTGCCTTGGTGCCTGGTGTGCTGCTCTGGGATGGAAGCAGGAAGGGGCATGGTGCCCCTGTTGCTCCCGGGAGGTGGGCTGGGCCCGCTCTGTGCCACGAGATGATCCAGGCTGTTCGAGGCACTGCTGACATCTGCCACCCTCAATAAAAACATTTGCTCCTGCTCAGAAGCCGTCTCAGCTGCTTAATTAAATACATTGTTGGCCTTAATTAAAATTAAGAACAGGGGAGGGTTGCCAGGTCACACACAACGCGCCCAAGGCTTCTGAAGCTGCTCTTTGCAGGAGCAGCTCCGCTCCCAAGCCGAGGACACGCGAGGCTTTCCCAGCAGCTGTGCCAAGCGGCGAGCCCCGTGCCCCTCAGCCGGGCGACGGCCAAGACATCTCTGCTCAGGAAGCCTGGTCCCAGCTACGTCCGCCTTTCGCTCCTTGAGGAACCGCTGTTTTGTGAGCCCCTGGCCCAGCCGGAGAGCCCCCTGCCTGCCCCACCGGGACGAGAGCGGGGCTGGGCAGCAGTCTCCTCCGGCTGAGCACGCCCGCACAGCACAACGTAAAACAGACCAGCCCTGTCCTGTTTTGCTCTCCGCTGGCTTATTTATCACCATGGAGACCTCTGCGCATCTCTCCAGCCCGCACACCGGGCTTTCAGGCTGGGGCTCTCACCATGGAGGTTGTTTCCTGCTCGGGAAAGCTCGTGGCCCTGGGAGCCGGAAAGTCCCCGCACCCCAAATCTTGTCGGTCCCACCAAGGGGACAGCTGCACCCTCCAGGCGCACAGGAGCAAACATCGGCTTGGCCAAGCATCCAGACCCCAGCCCACCAGCCCTCTCCTACCTCTTTGTGGAAAGCGATGGCTTCGCTGAAGTTGCCGAGCAAGTACTGGGTGTTGCCAAGATTGCCGTAGGCACGGCCCTGCGCGGCCCTGTCCCCCAGCTCCTTCACCAGAGACAGGTTTCTCCTGCAGCAAAGCAGAGGGGCACGTCTGGTCACACTCAGCCCAAGAGACGCAGCGTGAAAGCAAAGGGAGTGGGGGCATCTGCTCCTGGCTGGCCTGAGCAAGCCACACATTATCCAAGTCAAGCCCGTGGGTTGCAGGCAGGGGGAGAAAAGCATGCCCCAAGCCAACCTGGCAGCCACCTTCCAGCACACAACAAGGTGAGCGAATCGATTTGGAAATGGCACTGGGCTGCCATGAGACGGGCTGCAATGGCTGAGAACTCAGCACCAAAAGCCCATGGGGACCCTGCATGCCCTGCCCCACACTGGAGGGGAAGGAAAGTCCCCGCTTGTGGGTCCATGACCAGGTCTGACCCCTCCAGGGGCACGCTCCAGTGTGGGCTGGAAGAACAGCTACTTGCAAAGGGAAGAGGCTGAGGGGGGTAGACTTTGCAGCCTGCCTCATGGGTCGACCTATAGCCCCAGCACCACGAGGGAACGCGTGAGCCTGCGTTGGAATAAAACCTCCCAGAAGGACATTTTGTTAATAGAGTTATTTGCAAGCATGCAGCCCCATCTCGTTGCCCAGTGCCTGCAGCCCTGGGGAAAAGCACGCCGGCTGGCGAGACCATGCCCAGCCAGGGAAGCACTCCCCCACCCAGCGTGCAGGGAGCAGTGGAGGACTCAGCAGCACATGCCTCTGGTGCACAAGTCTGGCCCATCTTTGCGTGCGCTGCCTGGCTGTTTGTTCCCACGCAGGTGCCAGCTGGACCCCGAGGTATTTGGCTGCCATGCTAGGGAGCAGGTGAGCATAACAGTCTGCGCGGCATTTGGGGCTCTCTAATCCTCAGCTGCTGAGCAGACCCGACAGGTTCCACCCCCGGAGCAGATGCAGCTCCCCCCTTGCAGCCTTTCTGGGAGAGAGAGAGATGCCAGCCACAGGCACCAACGTGCAAAGCATTGCGTTTGGTCATGCCCTGACTCTGCATGCGTGTGGTAGAGCAGCCGTGAACACACGCAGCTCACGACCACGCACAGCAAAGCTCTTGTGCTGAATGGACAAACTCCGGGGGCTCTGGGATGGGTGCTGACTATCGCTGCATCTGCTGCTGGAGCGTGGCTGGCTCCATTTAAAGCCCGCTGTGGAGCCTTCCCTATGCTAAGACCAAGCTCTACGATGCTCTTGTAGCCCTCCTGCATTTCAGCCACCTTGGACTGTGAGGGAACCAGGCTTATTTAGTCTGGAAGAAAGAAGACTGAGGGAGGACTTAATAGCAGCCTTCAGCTCCCTGCAGGGGGGTTGCAAAGAGGATGGAGCTGGGCTGTTCTCAGTGGGGGCAGATGACAGGACAAGGAGCAATGGGCTCAAGCTGCAGCAAGGAAAGTTGAGGCTGGATATAAGGAAAAACTGTCTCATGAGGAAGGTAGTAAATCACTGGAACAGGTCACCCAGATTGGTGGTGGACTCTGCATCCTTGGAGATTTTTAAGACCCGGGTAGACAAAGCCTTGGCTGGGATGATGGAGCTGGAGCTGGGGCTGGTCCTGCTCGGAGCAGAGAGTTGCACTAGACGTGACCTCCTGAGCTCCCTTCCACCCTCCTTGTGTACGATTCTCTGATGCAGTGGCTGGAAGTGGGGTTTGCAGAGAGATCCTGCCCAGTGAAAGCTAATTCAGCTGGACCTGCATCCCCATCCTGATTTCAGCTCCTCCGGTCTGTGGTAGGGACTCCAGGCAGGACAAAATGGCTCCATGCCTGGAAGTGAGGGCTGCGCACGACTACAGATGCAGAAGGAACAAGGCAGCAGCGTGGTGCTATCCTCACAGAGCCTTATTCGAAAGGGCTCCCTTGAGTCTAAAGAAGATCCACACAGACTGCCCATGCTAGGGAAACTGAGGCAATGGCTGGATCTTTAGAGGTGCCATGTCCTTTCCAGTGGGATGCAAAAGGGCTCGATGCGTCTGCCCACAAGGCTGCGAGCGATTCACCACAGCTCCTCAAACAGCCCTCAAGAAATCTTCATGCCCTGACTCCCACCTTCCTCTCTCCCTCCTCAGCAATGGTAAACCTCCGTAAGAAAGGGTCCAAACCCTAGTCCCGGCCCAGAGGAGGGTATCATCAGCCTGCCCATCCCCACGCCGCTCCCCAGAGGAGTCCGGAGATCAGCACGGAAACGAAGCAATTAGGGTACCTGCCTAACGGAGCCAGAGGCTGGCTGGGTTTGCTCCTGCATGAGCCCAGCCTCAAACACCTGCTGCTGCCGCCAGCTCTGGGCGGTCCCTCCCCTGCCAAGCGAGGAAGGGACGAGCGGGTTGGTACTTACTCGTAATACTCTGAAGCTTTCTGGAGCGTCTCCTTGACTTCCTCAGGCAAGTAGCCTGGGTCTTGGGCCCCGCTCCAAGACAGCTGCTTCCCTTTGGCGTGGTAAACATTGCCAATGTTATACAGCGCTCGGGCTTCCCCCACCTGGAAAGGAAGCACAAATGTTGCAGGGCGACGGATGTTATGCTCCGCAACGCGCCATCTTCCCGCTTTAAGGCAAAGGCAGCAGCCCAAAGCCGGACCACAGCAGCCTCCTCAAGAAGCCCAGCCAGGGAGAGGGGAGGATGCCCAGGGACTGTCCAAAAGGTACGACTGGCAGGCCAAAGAGAGCCCAGGGTGCTGACTGCTATCCCCTGGCAATTCTGCGGGGCTTCTCCCCAGTAGAAATTGAAGCACTTCACAGAGGTGCTCAATACCACTAGCCCCATTTTACAGACGGGGAAACCGAGGCACAGAGAGCCGAGGTGACTTGCCCAAGGTCTTATAGCAGGCAGGGCTAAAACCCACGTCCCTCCCCTCTAGACCTGGGACATGGAGGGAGATGGGGGGCCTCCAGGCTCATCTCTTGGCTGCCTCGTGGTCTTGGTCCAGTTCCTTGGGGAAAAGCAGTGACAGCATCCGCTATCCCACCGTGCTCCTTCCTGACATGCTGCAGCCCTAAACTCGTGTCCCCGCGATACGGTCAGTGACAGGCCTTGCTGGTGAAAAACTGCCAGTCGGACTCAGCCAGACACGCGTGACAGAAGTATTCCCCACCGAACGGTGCCAACTTTACCTTGTCTCCCTGCTCCTGAGATATATCCAGGTGTCTCTGGCAGCACACGACTGCTTCATCAAACTGCCCGAGGATTTTCAATGTGTTCCCGAGGTTGCCGCTGGCCTTGGCCTCTCCGATCCGGTCCCCAATGGTTCTGCAAGAGAAGAGCAATTTTTCCACACACGCTGGAGAGGACCAGCCTTTCCCCAGAGCCTCTCAGCTGGGGCTGGCTGGACGGGGTGCCCACGAGACTCATCAGCTCTTCTCCGAGCTGGTACAACGTGGTACAATGATCACATGCTTTGCAGGGCAGAGGGGGGCATGTCTAGCCGCCCACGCAAGGGACAGCTCCTGTACCGTGTCTGGAGGAATCTGGGCGCCGAAGCTGCACAGCTCGCCTCTGGCCCCGTGCTGGGATATCACCTCTACGCAGAGAGGGGAAGATTTGCGGGCACGACAATAACCTAACTAGCTGCAGGCAGAGCATACCTAGTTTCTAAAGGGGCCTGCTGGATTAAGAGGGATCCAAGCAGGCTAGGTTTGCGACAGGCCCCTGAACTCCCCTCCAACCTGTGACTTCAGTTATCCTGCATGAAGCTGCTACATGTGCAATTCAGCCTTACCCCTGCGCACACAAACAGGCCTGCTTGCAAGCTGGGTTGGAGCCTATGAAAACCTTGGACCGTGGGGTTCAAATAAGACAGTCCCGAGAAGTGGGGCAGGCTCAGGGATGCTCAATTGGTTCCCACGGCTATTACCGTGACACCTGCCTGGAGCCACTGCCCAGAGAACTAGCAAAAGTTAGTCTTGAAAGGTCACGGGCAACGGTAGCCGGGGCTGCACGGATGCCTCCAGACAGGGAGCTCGGCAGAGGGGCCGTAAGCGAAACTGCAAGAAAAGTCAACTGATAGCCCACGTGTCTGACCGCCCTGTGATGGTTGCAGCAGCTCTGACCTTCCTGAAGACATTGCTTGCCTGGCACCCGAGATCTCTTGTTGGACACATGCTTCCTAGCCAGGCCCCTTCCCCACTCACGGGCTCAGATGCCAGCAATCTTGCCTTCGATCGAGGCCGCGTTCGCTCAGAGCTGGCGTGCTTACCTGGCTAGCGTGAGGTCGTGCTTGTGGTACTCCAGGGCTTTTGAATACTCCTTTAGGTAGAAGTAAGCATTGCCCAGCTGGCTGTAGATGGCACTGAGAGTCTTCAGGTCCTCCGTCCCCACCTGCACAGCTGCCTCGAAGAAGGCTGCCCCGGCTTTGAAGTCTCCAGCCTTGCACAGACGCTCCCCTTCAAGCGCCAGCTCGAGGCAGGACGCCTCCATCCTGTTCAGAGACAAGCAGTCAGGGAGTCAGCTCTGGAGGGGCTACATTTGTCACAGATACGGGGTCTGTAAAGGCCTATGCACACACCAAGGGTGGCAGGCTGGAGACGAGGGAGAACCAGACCACCTACTAGAAAGGAAGAGGAAAGTGTTCAACAGCTCCTAAATCACCCAGCCCACATCCTGTTTTCAAATGCAACTTATGTGTCAAGGGGATTTAGACACCTAAATGTGCAAAAATACTTGGGCTCCCAAATGTAAATCAGTGGGATCGGGATCTGATCAGGTCTCCTCCACACTGCAGCCTCGCAGCCCCTTGGGTGGTTTTCATCATTTGACCCAAAGTGGGAGCACGCAGGGGAGGAAAAGACTCGCTCCCCCGACAGCCACATGATCCGGGCTAGACAGCTCAGCAGACTTCCCCTCCAGGGGTCCGTGGACCCCCACGGAGAACATGTGCAGCAACCCGGCCGTGGCTCTCAGCGCTTCCAGGCTGCCCCAACAGCCCCTCGCTTGCAGACGAGGTGCAGGGGCCGAGCTCCTCAGCCCACCACACTGCACTCCGCGGAGAACGGTTGCCTGCACCTGCTTCCCATCATCTTCCTGCCATCAGTTTTTCCACAGCCCTGTTTATGCATCAGCGCCAGGGCCCAGTTCCCACCCGTTGAACTTCGCGACAGCCAAGGGCTCCCCCGTGCATGGGGAATGGCGCAGTGCTCTTGGCGCAACTTCAGCTACTGTCTGCGGACCACCAACGCTCCCCCTTTGATGCAGGCTGCAGCCGGCCCCGTCCAAAAATAAAGGCAGTGCCAAGCGGTGCTGCATGGGGGAACAGCTCGCTTGCGGCAGGGCTCAGCACGCCAGGGAAGCCGACGCACGGTTGCTGCTAACGTCGGCCGCTTGTAGTAGCGACGGCACCTGACAGCTCTGCAGATCACGGTCTCCTTTGCACAGCGGGGAGCTTGGCTCTGTGCAACTCAGAGCTGCGTAGCACTATTCAGGCAAGGATTTTAGCATGGCTCAAAACCCCAACACTGAAAGCAAGGTCTCCGCTACCAAGGGTTAGCATTAGCAGTGTAACTGTGTCAGTTATAGGTGTAAGAAAAATAACACAGCTGCATCCTGACTTGTGCTGGCAACTAGAGCCCGTCTACCCATCCAGATGGCATTGCCTGAGGAGGAGGTTTGCACAAATGGGTGAACTGTCTCAGCAACAAACCTCCTTTTGCAGGGATCAGCTGCATCTCCACTAGAGAGCAAGCAAATCTGGCTCCCCTGGCACCGTTATACCAGCAAAGCCTTTGTAGCACCATCCAGCCTTCAGAACAGCACGGGCTACTAGCGCTAGCTACGGGGCGCTGCCCGAGGAAAGCCAAGCCCCCGCGCGCCGAGTAAGGGACGCCTTCACCCTCGTGCTTCTTAACTTTGTGCAAGCAACCCCCCTGCTCCGCATTTGGGCTGCAGAAGGGAAACAGCACGATTAGAGGCTTCCAGGCAGGGGGTCTCAGTCACGGGCTGGGCTCCGGTGCATCTCCTTCACCGAGGCACGTACCTAGGCACGGCTGAGGAGCGGACCCGCGCGTCCCTCGGTGCTTCCTGCATTGCAAAGCAGCCACAAGACAGATCGCAGCCACGGGGCCCGCGCTAACCACCTCCCCGCAGACTTCACCGGCGCTTGCAGCCTGCCTGCAAGCTGGAGACAGCCCCGTCGCTAAAGGGTGTTATTCTCATCCTAGAGAGGGGAAGTCCGCGGCAAGTCATTTGGAAACGCTGCACCCGTGACTCCGGAGGAGCCAACGGGCTCAGTTCAAGCCGAAGACCCCCCTGGCAGGCCCAATGACATGAGGACGGTTGCATCCTGTGAAACCTGGCCACGAAAACGGCGAGGGAGGGGGTGGCAACAGCCACAGGGCAGCCTGGGGGCTACAGCGGGCAGTCGCTCCTGGATCTCCATTCACCTGTTCTCCGGCGGAGGGTGGGAGCTGCCTACTACCTCGACGATGCTAGGCGCTTCGAGGTGTGTTGAAGATGCAGATCGCCATCACCTGATCATCAAATTTCTGAGGATTTTGATAACACCAGTGTGTAGCTGCCATAATCCTCCACCAGCAGCCCCCACCCCATGCAAAGAGCCGAGGCCAACCCCTGGGCTAAGCAGCTCGCCGTCTAAGACCAGAAACAGACCCACAGGAGGGGCGTACGAGACGCCGCTCATCAATGCAAGAAGCCGTGGCCACGGCACGCCCACGACCCAGCCCCGGAGGTCCCAGCAAAGGAGGGTTTGAAGGAGGAGGGCAGGGCGCCGCGTCGGCGTGGAAGAAGGAAAACCACAGACCTGCCTGTTTACAGTCTCGGATGCAGCAGCACTCCCCGAAACGTCAGCAAGCCCCAAACCCAGAGACTCCACGGGGACGTTTCACCCGCCAGGACGAGGCCAGCGATGAGAGCGTGCCCGCTGCTTCAAGGAGCCGAGACGAGCATCGCGGCTCCACGCCTTGAGCCGCTGAAATGCCAGAAAGCTGGAAAGCATCCACACCAAATTCTCCCCAAAATAATAAAACCGATCTCTGCGAGTCCTAATTACTGGGTAAGTCTCTCTGGCGCTCTCAAGCATGCACATACACACGCTGCTTTGGAGCCAAGACCGTCCATCGGCACAGCTGTAATTTACCCTGGCAAGGATCCTGGCTGGGCATACGCTGTATAGCAAGGATGCAATTCTCAGCTCCAGTGTCAGAGCTGGTTTGAGACGCTCTGGCAGGGGACACGTGACGACCGGCTCCTTCTTTAAACGCAGCAAATCCCCTGTGAGCTGCAGATCCCCGCTCCCACCTGGCTGAGGTTCAGTTTAATGGGAGCAGCTATTTGCCAAAGCTGTCTCATGCAGGCTAGCTGCTCCCCATCTCCTCTCCCCCGTGCAGCAATTACAGACAGCAGCCATCACAACTGGCTCTCCGGGAGACGGACCGAGGAGCAAATGAACTAGAGCGCACCCTCCTCCCAAGCTGCTGGACGGGGTCCATCCCAGGCAGGACCGAGGCACGTGCACAGGCTGCAAAACCGTTCCCCGCTACTGCCATGTTAAATGCGGAGCAAACCCGCCCCCCGTGTCAGTGCCCAGCAGTCAGGGCAGCTGCACCAAGGATAACTTGACTCCAGATATAGTGAAAAAGGCAAATCTCAGACCCATTTCTCCCCACCTCTGCAGGAAGCTTGCAAATCGCATGCAAAAACAGCTCCGTTAAAACAACACTGTTGAGTCCACCGGCTGGGAAACAGCATCATTAAGGCTGCATGGGCAAAAAGGGTTTGCATGGGCTTCCTTGGCCGTCGGCATCGCGACCTGCAGTTGCACAACCAGGTACTATATCCACCCCCATATGCAGGAGGTCTCCTGCCTCACACTGTCAGATGGGCTGCTCCAGGAGCGAACCCAGCTGTGCCATGGCGAGAGCAAAGGCGCAGTCTGGCCAAGTCAGCTCAGACCAAAATCCTTGGAAATCGCAGCCTCTGGAGCTCCAAGAGGCCTCTGCAAGAGCACGCAAACCACAGCTATTCCAACGCTCAGGACTTGGCTGTGGCCGAGTGCATTTTTACAGGGACAGCAAAAAGCACATCCTTGACAAAGCCTTCCCCCGCCTGCCACTTCAATTTTCAATTCCTGGGCCAAAGCCTGAGGGAGCCAGAGCTGTTGAAAGAAAAAAGGAGCCAGAATTCAGTCTTGGACAAAACATCGTCCCTAGTTTTGTGTCTGGGAAAACTACACTTTGGGCTGAAATTTTCCAACACCCACTCAGCCCGAGGAAGAGACCTGGCATAGAAAACTCTCTAGCCCAAATGTATGCAAGTTGGACAAAGTTATGAGCTGGAAAGGAAAATGCTCTTAATGTGAAGTATTTGGCCACCTTGGCAGCAGCAGTGGGAGCAGGTCGGAGTGTAATACTGGGAGGCAGCTTTGGTGCAAGAGAGGAGATTCCCCTGATTGCAGACCTGGGAGCTGGAAGAGAGATGAAGGGTTAACACTGCCTGACCATCCGGGAGATTCAACAAAGAGATTTGCACGCACAAGTTGTCCTGCAGCTTCCACTAGTAACTGTGCTGTTGCTCACGATAAAGGTGCCTTAAGCCAGCATGCCTATGCTCATGGGAAGGGATATGAGCTGTAAACCCCAGCAGACTCCATGCCGGGGCTTGAGTTGTCTTGGATTATCCTAACAGAGTCAGCCTCGTCCCCGGCCAAAGTGTCCGTACACAACGAGCAGGCAAACCAGGCCCCTGAAAGAGTCGGGAAAGAGCAGAGAATGATGGATGTCACTTTAGCATCGTCCCTTTTCTGGGCTGACTCCCAGACCCCGAACCCTGCTGGCAATCTCAGCAAAGAGGCCAAGGATAGGACAGGCCAACCCCCAACAGATTCAGGTCAATACGGACTAAGCGGCATAGATGCAATTTGTGCCCTGGCCATTCTCCGATGGAGAGCGCCACCCACCAGGTCACCAAAAACGCCACCCGCCTGCTTTTAAACCGGGCCGGGGGTTTGGTGGCTGTCCGCAGAGCCCTTCCGCCCATGCCTGAGGCTCCTGGGCAAGGAGATGGGCTCAGCGACAGCCCAGCGATGTTGTCACCAATGCATTTTTCCTACAAGTAAGCAGAACCGTGCACACCAGCCAGGCCGGCCCTTCCCAGCCGGGTCCAAGCTCCCAGACTGCTAAGCCGATTTGCTAGCTAATCATGTTCCTCGGCTCTGCCCTCCTCCCCACAAGGATGGCCTTCAAGCGGCAATGCCCCTGGAGCCATCGCGCCCAGCGGTGAAGCGGTCAATACCCATGAGCTGCCAGTGGCTGCCGTGAGCCAAGCTTCATAAAAAGGGACTCCGGTCCTCACGCTAACACAAAGGACTGCAGCCGTCAACTGGTCTCGCCTTCCCCGTAACACCGCTCACACAGCTTCCCCGTATTCATAGGGGATTTTGTCCCATGCTCAGACTGGTGCAGACTGTGC